AAAATCAACAATCAAACTAGGGATTCTATCACATACATCAACAACAAACCCAAAACTAGACCTAGGGTTTGTAAACCCAAGAGAAAAGGGTGAGTTTCTAGAGAGAGAGAGAGAGAGAGAGGAGAGATTACAAAGTAACCTCAATATCTTCTTCTAGGCTTGATTCCTTTCTTTCAAGCTTGATCAATGCCTTAAATTAAGCTCCAAGATCACTCCCTCTCTCACTAGAACTCCCCTTTGGTGTTTTGGGTTAAAACCCTAGAGAAAGAAAGTATTCCTTCTCCAAGAAACCAGCTCCCTTTTCTCTCTCCCCGCTGTTGTCTTCACATTTGCCCGAAAGCGACCAGTTCACGGCCGTATTTGCCAGTTCACGGCCGTGAACACCTGAGCGCGTCCGTGAACTCAGTGTCGTCGCCCAAACGCACCGCTTCACTTCTGGGTTCACGGGCAATAACTCCATTTCACGGTCTTAGTGACCGTTAACTGCCTTGTCGTCAGTAACTTCTGGAACCTCGCTGGACGCCTCGACGTTCACGGTTTGTGCTTCCAATTCACAGCCTAAGGAGAGCTTGAACTGCCTTGTATGACTGTGAACTGCGGCTGCTTCCTGGACGCCTGCGCTTCACTGTTACGGGGCAATTGTCACGTTGGCCTTCCACACGAGCTAGGACCTGAAATATATCAAAACATGCACAACCTAGCGTGAAATATGTCGAGGGACGATGAAATACTAAGTTAAACGAATAAGAAATGAGGGGTAAAATGTGTACATTTAGGCCCGAATCAAGTGTGAAGGAAATGTGACACCCCAAATTTTGGGTTATGTTCCACCATCGATAAGGGAATGCCTCGGTTCGGGAATTGGATAATTTTAATTGATTAATTATTGGTTAATCTTAAGTATGGGTTAATTGATATAATTAATTAAATTTTTTAAAAAAAGGAGAAATAATTTTCCTAACCCTAAAAACCACCGACGCCATTCTCTCTCTCTCTCTCTGTTCATCTCTACACACAAGGACAAATTTCCCATCACAACCCCATCGCAGTCGCTGCCCCCATTTCCCTCCCACGATCAAACCCATCCAGTCGGGCTCTCCCAAAGCACCGACGGCAAGAAGAAAATGCAGCAACAGTAGTGCCACCGACGAGCACAACTGACCGACCTCTGCTCCTATTGGCAAGCTCTCACCACCTCCCACGCACGAGCCTAACCCCTTACTTTGCATCTAGATGTAAGGGATCACGGAACACCAAGCTTCGAGCCCTATTCATCCATAATTAACCCGCTCTCGTATGTTTTGAACCAAAGCTTTCCGGCGACGTCATGGGGGCTCGAAGAACAACCAAGGTGGAGAAATCGATCAAAGTCTTTAAATCTGAGCCTAGGCATGTTCTAGAGATAAGTGAAATTCGAACTCTTCAAGTTAGATCAATTGTTTGCATGATTTTTCATGAAGGTGCAATTCTGGGAAATTTGTGACAGTTTTCAAGGTACTAGTGACAGAAATGGTTGGTCACTAAAGCTGTAGTAATTTTGAAAAACGTGTTTTTAATTCTTTTAATTGTTTCGAGCCTCTACATGAGCTTTTTCCTTGATGCAACATTTTAAGAAATTGAGGAGGTCCAGGAAGTGTCTGTGATTTAATTTGAGGATTGTTTAAGTTTATTTACTATTTTCAGAAACTGGTTGAAGGTTGATTTTAATTAAATAAAAATCATGTCGAGGTTTTTTGATAGATTTGATAATTTTTCAAGAGATTAGTCCTCATCGTTGACCTGTAAAAATTATGTTCTAGAATTTTTTGTTTTATAGTATGGTCTGGATTTATAAAGAGGTTTTAGTTGGGTTAAATATTTGTTCAAGATTTATTGAATAAAAGGACAGGTTTTGAAAGGAGCTTTTTCTAGCAAATTTTACATGAGCATAAGGTGCTTTTGAAATTATATTCGATGTATGTTTTTGGAGGGAAGGTTGCCCTAGCAACTTATAACAGATTAAACCGAGGAAAGGTCGTCTAAAAAATAAATTTTTGATTCATAGGTTTTTCGAGATAATTCGACGAAGTAGGAATTTCTTTGAGTAAGGAATCAAGGAGTCGTATTTTCGAGCTGAATGTAAAGAGGATAAATTCTACGTTGCGTTTTAGGTTAACCTTTATAAGTTCAAGCTTTCAACTACGAGTTATAATTACTTGATATGCATGTTTGATGATTCCTTTTCCTAGACTTTTGAACTAGGAGAGTTCATAATGTATGAGGTCTATGGATATATGTTGAGGTAACCCACCGCCTGCTGAAGGTGAGGACATGATTTTGAGGTACCTCACCGCCCACTAAAGTTGAGGATAATGTGTGATTTGTTTGTATGATGTGCATGTGTGTGTATGTGATGTGTGGGTCTTAAAGGAAAGGGAACCCCCAGGTGGTTATTCACCACTAGACGGCGGTACGATACGCAGTAGTTGATCAGGCATGGCAACAGACGGCGAATAGAATTGCAGGCCATTACCTAAGAGGGTATATGATCCCTAGCTAATTGTGCCTTCACATGGTAATGATCCTACTAATCACACTAGAGTTTCATTCGTTGTATCTTGACTAGAGACTAGAGGGAGCAATATCCGAGTGACTCTTTGTCAATCGAATTCACCAAAGTTTATGTACTTTCTTGTTTAATTCTTTAGTTTCTTTAGCTTTAACCACAATCCAATCCACGTCCTTAGTGCCTCAACTTAGGGGTGTACATGGGTCGGGTGGGTCGGGTTTTGACCACTTTAGTCACCCCAACCCATATACCACGGTTTACACATCATGAAACCCAAACCCACCCAAATAAAATTAGAATCCAACGGTTTGGGTCGGTTCAGATTGAACTGTAAACGGGCCAAAATCCAACCTAGTACAAACAAAAATTCCAAACAAATTTCCAACCCTTTTAAGTAAAGTAAAAAAAGTATTCTAATTAATTTGTATCTTTTAAGTAAATAAAGAGTTGGGTACCCATAAAAAGAAGGGAGTTGCTAATTGTCGCCCTAGATTTTTATAATCGTCCTAACTTACTGGATTATAATTACCTCTTTACCCTTCTTTTTTAATCTTTTTTATTAAAAATATATTATTTTAACACAAAGGAAAAACTACCATAGCTTTTATAAAAAAAAAACAAAAAATACCATAGCCATTGATTTATTCCACCACCACCGCCCATCTGGGCAAATTCTGAATGGGTTTGGACGGATGCATCCTTCTGACATTATAATAACGATTCACCTCTGCTACCTGACCCTGCCGGCCACCATCGACCACATCCGGACAGAGGAAAGGAACCCGACAGTCATTTTATAGACCCTCGACGTTCGATACCAACCTAACGTTATCGACGGCAGCTGCTTTCGGGAGAGGTTAATTATGGTGGGTGGCCATGGATAGCGTGAGATAGCAAAGCTGAACGTCCACCAGTTCGGCATCGGCTTCCATGAATACAATCGATTTCTTCCCCCTGTTGATAGTAACCTTCACCTTATTTGATTGACGTGTGAACAACGGAGAGGGAAAGAAAAAGCACGTGGGAGAAGGAGCTGCGGCGGAGTGCAGGAGAGAAGGAACGACGCTGGGTGAATTGCGGAGAAGTGTGTAGATGACGACGGGGATGAGGAACGATGAAGGCGTTTGGAGAGGAGGGCGGCAGTACTTGAGGAACAATTAGGGATTTTAGGAGATATTTGTTTTATTTAATTTGAATTCATTAATGAAGGACAATTAAGTAGTTTTACTTTTTTTAGTTAGAGCCATAATAATAAAATTAGGGCCACGTTTAGCCATCCAGAAAAAGAAAGGAAGAGTGAGAGGCTAATAAAATTATGCAGAGGATGGCTCTTAATTTCTAGTTATGCGTATGGGGCTTGGAAAATGGAAATAAAAAAAGAAAACATATTTGGGCCCAGAAGCCCACCCAATTCAATTCGCCCTTCCTGTCTTTCATTTCCCTTGTGCGTTGGTTAGCTTGCTCAAGCCGAAGACATATATTTCTATACACTGGGTCGGTTTGGGTTGTTCGGGTTTTAGAACCCCAAACCCGGACCCAACCCAGACAACCAACGGGTCTTCATTCTAGCACCCTCATCCGCCCATTTAACTTGGTTTTGCTTGGGTTTCGGGTTGGTTCGGGCCGGATGACACGAGTGGGTCGGTTTACGGGTCACTATGTTCACCCCTACCTCAACTAGCCATCTCAGACATCACCTCAACATTGCTAATATACACATGGCAAAAAGTTAAAATTTGATTATTTTCTACATTTCGGTAGCTTTAACTTTTTCTCATAAAGTTATGAGTTTGACAATTTTATTATATTATTTAAAATTGCACGAAGTTCATCCAACCAATGAGACCGACCCATAATAAGTGATATATGTATATAAATATATTAAATTTAAACATTTAAAGTAGTAGTATTGTAGCTACCAAGCCTCCACCAAAAATGAGATACCATTGTCTAGAAAATTGAGTCACTAACTAATCATTGTCCTGAATTGTGCCTTGGGCACTGCATAAAGGTTTGGGTTTGAAGGCACTGCAAAAAGGTTAGGATTGGAAGGCACCGCATAAAGATTAGGGTTTGAAGGCACTGCAAAAAGGTTAGGATTGGAAGGCACTGCATAAAGATTGGGGTTTGATGGCACTGCATAGAGGCTAGGATTGGAAGGCACCGCATAAAGGTTAGGGTTTGATGGAACTGCGTAAAGGTTAGTCTCTGGACAATATTTTGCCTCTGCGGTGGTGTGAGTCTCTGGACCATGTTTTGCCGCTGCGGTGGTGTGAATCTCTGCGGTGGTGTGAGTATGTGGACCATGTTTTGTCTCTGCGGTGGTGTGAGTCTGTGGACCATGTTTTGCCTCTGCGGTGGTGTGAGTCTCTGGACCATGTTTTGCCGCTGCGGTGGTGTGAATCTCTGCGGTGGTGTGAGTCTGTGGACCATGTTTTGTCTCTGCGGTGGTGTGAGTCTCTGGACCATGTTTTGTCTCTGCGGTTATGCTCCCCAAGACAAGCACAAGACCAACAGACACCATCAAGAATTGAGCAAGCTTCTTGAACAGCCTGTCAACAGTAAAAGGTTGGTCGCAACCAATTAGAGTTTCAATCGTAACTTGTTGTTGTTGAGTTACAAACATTTTCTTAAAGCTAGCTGACAAAACACTAGTTAATTATATAAAGTTTTGAAGCATAACTAACTATAATAATGGCGATCGTGAGTAGTGTTAAATTTAATTGTTTATGATAGAAAAGGGTTGGTTTGGTACCTTCCACTCTGTCGCAGGTAGGCAATGAGTTGATCAATGGTGATTCGAAATACATAAAAGCGGCCTGATGGAGGCTGAATCCAGATCCTCCCATGTTCATCTTTCACGGCCTTGCCGACTACAGTTAATGAGGTGCCAGTTGGGAGTAGGCTCACTGTTCGCTTCACTCCGATCATCTGAAAAGAAATACGTGCGTACTCTTAAATCTTAATTAGTGATTACGACCGAGCTAGTATATATATATATATATATATGTAATTACGTACAGCAAGACCACCAACGTACAAATAAATGAATGAACCTTGATAAATTGATGAGCAGAGCGTGTGGGCGGATACTTGTGAAAGGCTTCCCTTTCCACAGGAAAACTGAAACCACGGGCGCCGCCAACGTACACAACCGCACCACTTCCGTCATCCTGCACCGCCATTAATTAATTGAGCTCCGAATCTCCAAGAAATAAACCATGCAAAATTAATTAATTACCAGGAACCATGACACCTCTTTCCTAGTGGTGGATCGCATCAAGGTTGAGTCTGGAATCCAAGAACCATCCTCAGGATTCTTCCTTTCAAACACCAGTTCCACCTGATTAATTAAAGACACACACGCAAATTAATTAAAAGGATTACCATATATACCATGAAAATTGAAAAATGAAGCAGCAGAGCTAATTAAGGTCGCGTTTTGCCTTCTCCTCCATCAGAACCCCTTGGAGGCCGCTTAACTTGCAAGCCATCGGCTGTGAGGATCCAACTCTTCCCGATACAGCAACTATCCTATCTTCATTATTGTCGTCCTCATATAGTTTGGCTGCATGCAAACAAGTAACGAATTAATTATATATAATTCTTCATCATATATAAAACAAAACAAAGAAATCAAGGCATTGCATTGCATGTATATTAATATCACCCACCCAATTGGTTGAGGGTGAGCCTTTTGGCAGAGGTAAGAAACTCAGCTTCCTTGTTTGCGCGGTCGGCGTAGTAAAACAAGGTCAGGCTGGCGGCACCCAGCAAACAACCCATTCCCAACACAAACACGTCCGACATGATCGATCGATCGATCTAATTCTCAACCTACGTTACACAGACACCACCGCCCAGTTGAGCTTGCTCGCTTGCTTGATTAATTTCTTTTCAACTTTAAACTCACCACCTACCTACAAACCCTAACCCCCTGCTTAATTTAATTGCCCAAATAATTTATTAACCTGCCCTGTGCAACAAGGATGCTTCTTTCATTTTTCTTTTCTCTCTCGGTTTTAGTTGCTGAATAAGACAAGGACACTTCTCTCCTAGTGCCACACAAAACGGAATCCAATTCAAACTTTTATATTACACTAATTTATCAATAAAATTATTATTCACCGTAAACAATTTCATATTCATATTATCACCAAATTATCTAACAAATCATTCAAACCTTCTCACAAAAGAATCAAAATTTTTTTCACATATAAAACGAGTTCGTCGTGCTCTACAAAATGAGATCCATTTTCATTATATTTTGTGGAAAAAAATTCATGCCTTTTGTTACCAACTTCATACCATATGGTATCTTCTTCGTTTTTAAGTCGTTTTTGAAAATTTTTGCAAAGAATGAACGAGTTCATCATATGATCTATTGTATATACAAATTTCTGGGTGAACAAAATATAAGACCAAAAAATAACATATAATACCACCCTGGTACGGGGTGGTATCTTGTGGTACACAATATTGAAAGTTGTAAATGACAGTTGGTACACTCCTACAATCATGTATTCAACTATCATACAGTCTTTGTATGTTCATACCACCATGGTACATTGTTCATATCATATTGTCTGTTCTTATTTTAATACCAATCAATACAACTATGGTATAGACTAGTAAAAAATGATCAATTTTTTTGTTTCAAAAATATATGAAAGTAGATATCATTTTGAAAAGCATAATTAATCTGATTTATCTGTGTAAAAAAAAATTGTATTCCGACTTAAAACAAGAGAGAAATCATACGTTAAAGATTCAAGGGGAAAATATTAAACGCTGAGGGTGGTAACAAAAAAAATATAGAGTTATGCACAGGATCTGTCTCATTGTGCTAATAGCAAGGTGCCACTCAACTCCCAAACTTCGAATAACTCTAAAGGAAGGACTAACTGCATGATTTGCTTCGTGTATAAACATTCAAAGAAAATGTGGTTTCTAGATTCAGGTGCCCGGTTACATAACAAACAAGTATCATTGATTTCATGATTCAATCTTCTGATTTTATCAAAAGTGGTGATTCTGTCAATCGTGATAAACCGGGACAAGGTTGAATTCCTGGGGATTTGCGGCCCTGACCATACCAATTTTGACTAGGTTACTTTGTCTCTTGCAGGTCTGATATATACTCTCCCACACAGTTTTAACTGTGTACTTAGATAGGGTTTTTCCTCCTCATTGCACCCATGTCCTGGAAGACTGTTATTTCCCTACTGTCATATGTCTAAGCATGGATACTTTATTCCAAACCCACAACACATTGGTCTAAACTTTCCAAAGGTCTAGATTTCTGAGTCTATACTCATTTATCTAGACTATCTAGAGGGTTTTCTTTTCTGCAATGATAGCGCATAGATGTCTTAGCAAGCATGCCTTATTCCAGCTTTTCATATCTTTGAACTCCAAGCCACCTCCCACTTTTGGTAGAGCCAACAAATCCCACAAGACTTTGGATTTCTTTATTGATGAAACATCATTCCACAAGAATTTGGAGCAGAGCATCTCTATTTCTCCAATTATTTTCTTAGGGATATGAACAATTCTCATCCAATACTAAGTAATACTTGCTAAAGTGAGGTTGCACTACAAGAAAACCTGCTTTAGAGTCAGAGGTCATTTGCGTCTAAAAGTCAATTATTTGTTTCTGTATGTCTTTTGAAGCAACTAGATTATTTACATCGGACACCTTTGTCTCTAATTCTCTTTAGAAGCAAATGTAGATGCAAATAATATTTGCTTCTAATTAAGGAATCCGTATCAAATCTTATTGATTGTAACTCCACTTTAAAGAACATATCCTTTCTCTTCTTATTTGATTTTAGAGAGAAATATTTTTGTTTCTATTTCTAGTTTTGGAGACAATTATAATTGTTTCTAGAAAACCTTGCCGAAGCAAATATTTGCTTCGTGAGCCAATACTTTTTTATTCTATTTCAACTTTCGTAATTTTGATTAATTTTAAATTTTAAATTCGATGTGACAAATAAAATAACAATTCATATTTCATTAATAACTTTTTAATGAATTTATTCTTAAAATAAATTAATACATTCCCCATAAAAACATAAATACAAAAATACATAAAGAATACATTATGTCTACAACATTTATAAAGCTAAATCATATACCCCACGCCGATGAGTACGCGCTTGTTCTTCTCCTTTTTCTTTACTTTACCAAATTAAATCATCAAACAACCACAAAGAGAACAGATTCAATTAAGGCCTCTGCTGCCGCCGCTTCTTCTCTGCCCTCAAGATTGTAAAAGCTCGTTTCATCCAGCCCCAAACAAACAAATCGGGAGAACAGGGGAAGCTTGATTTACTTTTTCTATCAAACAATTCACAACAAATTATACCTTCAGCTCTTCCAGAGTGAACCCTCTTCCAGCCTTCAACTTCATGTCGTACTTCAAAGTCTACCCATGGACAATGGGACGAAGAGGTCCAGCAGTAGGACTAGGGAAGATCTTCACTGCCTTCTCCTCACAAGCTGCAAGGAAATAGTAGCACACAAACAAGCAAGCCGCAAATGAATCAACAATAACTCGTTTAAGATCATCACAACCATAAAACACCCAACTACTTATACTACTACAGCTTAATCATTGCACAATCCTTAATTTCTCATCAGGCCAACAAATAATTAACACCTCATTCTACTCTGACTTAAAACCAAAACTGCTTCTTGCTTATATAAGAACCAATTAAAGGAAAAAGGTAAGCGGAAAAAAACTTACCAGCGCGTCTGGGGGTCTTCCTCGCCGGCTGATTGAACCATGTCTTGACTTAGAGTCACCCAATTCGTCTACTTTCCCTTCAAGCTCCTGCTCTGATCCGCCAAAGCGCGAATTTTCTAGAAAGCGCCAAAAAGTTGCGAATTATCTTGTTAGAGAGCGCGGATTATAATTTTGGGAGTGTGGTTTTTACAAAAACTCAAGTTGCTCCTCTGCCCTCCCTTTCCAATCAACACTAACTTCAATTTTCGGTGGTGAAATTGCCTGTTGGGATCTCTACCAGGACGTTCTTAGAGCCCTTCTTCAAACTTTTGCCGGCCACCGGTTGAAGAACTGAAGTCTGTCATGCGTCGATATAGCGGTGCATGCAACTGAAAATGGAATGGTAACGAAAAGAGGAAGCAGTAACTTAACGCTGATTTAAATAGACTGGGCAGCGGTGGAACTGGTATTTAAACGCCACCTGAAGAACTATGAATCTCCATTTGGCTTCTGTTTGTCAAAACTCGAAACCTCCTCTACCAAATCTATCAACTTTCCTTCTGGCAGCGGTTGAGACGGTCGCCCTTCCACCGGCGTTTCCTTTGCCGGTCACTCTCTTGGTAATTGTGTTGTGCATATACTAACCATACTTTATAGAAAGAGAGAGAGAATGGATTTAAATTGAACAATCAAAGGGAGAATATGAGATTTGATTTTGAAGGTTGAGATTGATATGGATCGGGGGATTTTTTCAATAGATTGCAGTGAGAGGGAGAGAGAATGAGAAGATGAAGAGCAGTTGGTATTGTGAAACTGTACAGGACATTATACTTTAGTAATAGATTGTTTTGTACTAAATCATGGTTTTATCATTTTGTACCGCTAAAATCGCTTAACGTTTAGAATCGTGTATATGGTATTTCTGGTTGGACCAACCTATACGTTTCTTAAACCATGATTTTAGAATCGTGTATATGGTATTTCTGGTTGGACCAACCTATACGTTTCTTAAACCATGATTTTTAGTGTGTAATCATTTACTTTTTCTAATTAAGAATGAAAAATAAATCCTTTTTCTATAACAATTTGTTTACCTTTCTAATCTCCATCTATCCACCATCATCTATCATTTCACTTCTATTTTTTTCTCTCTCTCTCTC